GCGGTAAGGAACTGAGGTTGAAAATCAATACGATTGTTATATATGGTGTCTATTGTAAGTATTGCCACATTCCATCTGGTTTCCTTGTGAGTGTGGATTCCAGGAATTTAATGTCATGTGATACATTGCTAGCCTATGGTGACTGGGATTGGATATTATTGTTTGAGTATAAGTAAAAATGGTTGGAATTATAATTACTTGCGGATTGTAGTTAGAATGTCATTACTCTAAAGAAAGACTAATATTTACAACGCAACCACGACTGACCGACATGAACTTAAGCATCGTAAATGTTATTCATCAATTTTAAAGGTCTAATAAATGAACGAATTACTGAAATGGGTACAATATGTAGCTACTTACTACCTACCTGTACAAAGTTCTTTTAAAAGGCTAAAACATCACGAACATATAAAAAGTATTTTAAAACGGTTTGCATTTAAGACTGAGTTGTAAATCTTAATTCCAGTTACTTTAATTGGTTTTTGTTCTCAACCGTTGTAACTGTAATAAATAAATAAATAAAATAAATAGACAAAGATTGACCGGAGCGATACCATACCGACATGATACAATGCTTGCGTTGTGTTTCGTCGTGTGTGTGAGGTTACCGGAGGCCCAACTATCTCCCTCCGCTTCCCCAATCACCCCAATCCTTCAATCCCCAACAATTCTCAAATTCCCAATCACCAAAAGGCCTATAACGAACTTGTAACGCAACTTGTGTTCCGGGTGTCCATGGGCACCGCCGATTGCTTACCATCAGGTGATTCGTGTGCTCTAACCGACTTATCCCATCAAAAAATCTTTATGAAAACCTCATCCTATTCTATTCACATTGTTTTAAGAACACCTTCACATTAACATGTAACTTCAATATAATGAGAATTATCTTGACTGACAGATGGATCAACGCAATCTAAGTTGATTGTCGTCTACAGACCTAAATATCGATAAGAGAGAATTACTTTTATTTTAGCACTGAAAGGGTACAAAGCAATGTCAACTTTTGCTCAATTAAATAGTTGCTTGCTTCTTGCTCACACCATTAACTCTTCTCTGCATCACCCAAAGGTCAGACTGGGAGAAAACGCTTGCAGCATTAAGTCCACCTTATGTACACATTGTGCATGAAGCTTAAATATATAAATAAATAAATTTTTATTTAATAAACCTGATCAAGTCAGGCTCCATAAGTCCGTTCATAGTTCCGTCTTGCCTTCATGAGACGGTTTGCTAAAGTGTACACAAGGCAACGAATCTTTTAGAATTGTGTGTCAAGTCTAGCTTTAGAAGTCAAGTGTGGGAGAGCCATGCTTCAGCACGAATGGGCCGGCTCGACCGAAGTGATATCACGGCCTTATAGAAAACCGATGTGAAGCAGCGCTTGCGTTGTGTTTCGTCGTGTGAGTGAGGTTACCGGAGGCCCAATTACCCTCCCCTTCTATAATCTCGCCAATCCCTGAATCCCCAACGATGCTCAAACTCCTAATCCCCAAAAGGCCGGTTACGCACTTGTAACGCCTCTGGTGTTCCGGGTGTCCATGGGCGACGCCGATTGCTTACCATCAGGTGATCCGTCTGCGCGTTTATCGGCTTATGTCATAAAAAATAGAAACTTGAACTCATTTAATACCAAGTAGATTGTAGACTGCCACATCGTCATTTGTTTTTGACAGTAATTACTAAACTTTTACCTTATTTAGCTGCTCAGTTTGTAAATCTTTCTTTCTCTCTATACAAAATATTTTAATTCGCAAACTAAAAGTTTTAAAAGTAATACACACAGTCGCCGTCGCGGGCAAAGCCTTAATCTTTCAACATACATATGTATGTACCAAAGTACTATCAACCTATTTTCTCGGAGACACATCACAATCATTACTGCAGACTCCATCAAAAGCTCATCTAGTATTTTTTCAAATATGTCTGACACTTGATAAAAACTGTGAGAGATAAGTGAGAAGCGACGATTGTACCTAGTATATCTACATTGGTACTAATGTCTTAGATAATGGTCTAAGATCTAGTAATTGATGGATGAACTTAGGTCTACAATGAGTACTAGATTCTCTGTAGACTAAGATAGTTTTTTGTTTTCTGAACAGTAAGTTTTGATTGTCTTGAGAGATCAGAAAAAAATTTTAAAGTAGTGTGTGTGAATGTTGAATATTTACGTAACAAAATGTAAGAACCTCTTTCTTTTTTTGAAGTCGGTTAAAATTACTAATATTTGTTCTTCACTTAACCTAATTGGAACTTAATTATCAACATCATCATCATCATATCAGCCATAGAACGTCCACTGCTGAACATAGGCCTCCCGCAATGACTCTTCCAGTCATTGGTGGGACTTAATAGACAAGTAAAAAATAAAACAACACAATCTATAATAAAATCAAAAGTTTTATTCTGATAGTATCATTATTCATTAAAAATAATGACAAATAATAGTCGCATACAAAGAACAAAAACACTGTATCATGCAATATTTTTATATATTTTCATTTAATTTTTTAACAACAAAAATTTGTTATTTTGCCATTAATATGCCCATTCAATGAGGTGATATTCTGTAAAGCTGCAATAACTTACATTTTTAATACCTATTTACATTTTAAATGAAAATAAAAATTAAAATAGTGGCACACGAATATAAAGGGTATTTTTTAAAACTATACATTTCTGGTTCGTCACACATTATACGGAATCTTACCTATTATATTATATTTATGGAACTATTAAGATGCGATCCTAATTTCTTTTCACTATATAATTATCACAGAAAATATGATTTTTTCTATCATTGACATTTTTAGCTAATTAATTTACTCTATCTAATCGAATTGTCGTAGAAAAAGTTTGAAAAAACTAAACGACAGTAAACAGAATGTTAAAAATTAATTCATTTCGATACAGCACAAAAAACCATCAATTTATTTATTTATTTATTTAAGTTCTATACAATTGCATAGGGAAGACTTAATGCTAACAGCATTCTCTGCCAGTCATCCTTTGGGTAGTGCAGAAATGTATGTGGTAGGTGGTAAGCTGCAAAACTGTTATGAGAAATAGTGGTAATTATCCAAATTAAAAAAAAAGGGTATCAAAAGCATACATAAAATACGTAAATATAATCGTATAGATATATATAATTATATATAATATAAATATCATTATACATATAAATATATTTGTGACTCGTATATGAATTTGTCCTATGTTACAACAAGATGAAAAATTATGAAAGATGTTATGAAACTGCCAGCTTTCCGCTAATGTACTCACGCGCCCTCCGCTTGAAACTCAGACGACTGGTTGCGGTTCTGACATTCGTTGGAAGCGTGTTCCAGAGAGAAATGACTTGAATGAAGAAAGAAGAATGAGTAAAGTTACTGCGATGGACAGGACAGTGCAATAGCCGATTATGCGAGGAGCGTAGATTTTTAGTATGGTTGTCACATACATACTGGAAATGTGAAGTTAAATAGTTAGGAGAATTGGGAGAGTCAAGCAGAGAAAATAAAGTTGTGAGTGCCCTTAGCTCTCTGCGCTGACGAATAGGCAACCATTTCAACAATGATCGCTGTGCAGACACATGGTCGTATTTACGCAGGTTAGAAACGAATCGAATGCAGTTATTTAGAAGACGGTCAAGTTTGTTGAGAAGATCTGCATTCAGGTCATAGTAACACACATCACCATAATCGATGATGGGGAAAATTAAGGTCTGCACAAGCATCGCCTTAGTGCTGGGAGGCAATACATTTCTGAGACGGTACAGAGACCGCAGCGATCCGGTAACTTTTTGACTTACACTGGCAACTTGACTTCGCCAACTGAGGGTACTGTCAATATGTATACCCAGGTCCTTGACGCTCTCACTATATTGGACAGGCGTCCCGTTGTACAGTACGGGCGGTAGTATAGTGAAGTTGATTTTGGCCATACTTTTACTACTACCAATAATAATCGCTTGACATTTGTCAGGATTGACAGCGATTCCAAACCTCTCGGACCAACTCTCAATAGCAGCCAAATCACGGTTGATTTTGGCGATGCACTGGTCCAGTTCAGCCACTACTCCGTGACAGTACACCTGTAAGTCGTCAGCATATAGATGATACGCACACTGAAGATCAGAAGTTATCTACGTACATATTTTTTTCTTTCTATATAAAATTTATAAAATATTTAATTTTCAGTCTGTATAGTTTATACAACAAATGAATAATATTATTATACTAATTGGAAATTATTGGAATTATAAAAAAATCGTTAACCGATTTATTTATTGAGCAATTGTAAAGTGCTAAATATTTGGATTTGATAAGAACAAAAATAAAAAAGAAATCTGTAAACTATAATAATAATATGTAAAATGCACTCGTTATACTGCGGATAAAATTCTTTATACAGAATGTAACAAAAATATTTTAATTATTACAAAAAAAAATTAGAAAGTTATTATTTCATGCATTTATCTATTCATTGTATTTACAAAAATATATATTTCATTTAATTTTATACAAAACACGAAGCAATAGAATTGCACAGTACAATAATAATTGTATCCAATTATTTTGACGCTTTAACGCAAAATAATTAATACAGAGACAGTCGAAATATTTCATTATTTTCGAAATCCAATAAATTATTCAAGTCATTATAATTCGAAGTACGAAAGTGAATGCAAAAGAGCAACACAGAAGTATTAATAATTTAATATTTTGCTGAAAATAAATTCGCTTTTCAGAGTAAATTTTATCATTACAATACTTGAAATCCCTGTGTTAAAAGATCTCTTTTGCATTCATTCTACAAAATAAATTCTTCGATGCATTATATCAAAATTAATAAACAAGCCTTCAGACTTATCCTATCATATATACACCTCAGTCATATAAAAATTCAGGAACATAGTATGATACACTTTCAGCGTTTTTCAGCTGATTTTTCAAGAGTCCATTTTACACTAGTCTTACGATTATATACCTCGGCTATACATGGGTGCCTTGAGCCGGCTGACTGCCATTACCTGTAACAAATGAGCACAATTAACTTAAGTGATATAACAAAAAAAAAACGTTCAAGTAAAAGTAAAAATGATCATTTATTATTTTTAATATGGAATACAAATTGGTTCGTATATTTTATGTAACTAGTCTATTCCGGTACGGCGGTTTGAACTTTCTTTTAATAAAATGTAATGCTTTAATATCGTGTTCTTTACATTGTTTTATTTATTGCCAGTTACTTGGTTTTTAACTTTAGAGGGATTTAAGTTTGCCTGCTTGGCAGTTAGGCTATTGATTCGACTAGGGTTTATTGCCCACGAGGCGTCATAGGCGGCCTACAAATGTCAAATGCTCTCATCTTGCTTAGAAGCAATGAAATCTGTCCACGAAGTGACGCCATGGCGTCACTCACTCCTCATACAAAGCCGTCTATCGCCATTTGTATGTTGAATGCATTTATAAATTGACACGTCATGGATAGGAGGCTTAACTTAGATACATGAAATATCTATAATTATGAAATACATAACATAACATTAACTTCATTAAATATTGACTTCATTACCGAGTATACCGCACCACAAAATCAAAAGCTATTAACTACTATAAATGTAAATCCAATAAATAAATGTTGCAAGTTTGCAGCACAACTTTGCACCCGCACAAAAAACCCAGTCCAAAACCGCTAAAACCCCGATCTCAAAAAACCCCATTGCCAATCGAACCCCGAAAATAAAACTACGAACTTAAGTAGCAAGTTGGACCAATAAATAATTCAAGTCTCACTTCGAATGCAATTAGATTTATGCGACTTTGGCAACACGTTGCGGTGAGATCGATCGTAATTCAGTGGAAGTTACTAAACACAAACAATTGAGCTCACGATGCCTGTAGGTACTTGCCAATAGAACTTTCCAGACTGGTTAGATATGATTGTTTATTTACTAATGTATTTATATCGAGATTAGGTTTTTAAAGGCCGAGACGGTCACAAGTGTGATATCCGGGCAAGGGGTCTCGAGTTCGAGTCCCGGGTCGAGCAAAGTATTACTGGATATAAAAAAAATCTCAGTAGTAACACGGAAACTTGAATAGTGCCCGGTATATGGCAATAGGCTTACACGGGACTCATAACATAAATAGTAAAAAGTGGGTGTTATATTGCAGTGGTATAATGCTGTACTGTGCACTCTGCATCCCCGTTCGGGGCTTAAAGGCATGATGTTATGAAATGTTTTTTAAAGATTTTGGTAACTGGGTTACTTTAGTTGGTTCAGAGGTACACACGGCCACACATCAATCTATACAAAACCAGTTTATCCTGGTGTCGCGTCGTATCATCTTTCCGCACATTTAACGTTCAGTTTATACTGGTTATGTAAAGCTCGATGTGTAGCCGTGTGTACGAGACGTTAATTCATTTGGCGGATAACACAAAATAATGTTACGTGTTTTCGATCTGCTTAGTAATAGCAATGTTCATAGGCGTATAGCCAGTTATCGTGACAAAATAATGTCCCTAGCTAGATAGCGATATAATAATTATTAGTTACATGCACTTTGTGTTGTTATTATATTTTAGTATTTTATTATATTATCAGAATGGCTGTTGCCCATGACTTCGTTCGTATAGAATATGAATTTTTAGACATAACTGTTTTATTTTTTAAAATAAAAGTAGAATATGCTACTCCTTAGTACATGAGCTAACTGCCAATAAAAGTGCCGTCAAAATTGGTCCAGCCATTCTAGAGATTAGCCAGTACCAACAGATAGACAGACAAAAATAGTAAAAAATGTTATTTTGGTACGTATAGTGTATGTATGCCTGTAGTAAAAAGCAGTTATTTTATTATTACTAACAGAAACTCTAACTTGTTTTATCTGTGTAAATGTTTTGCTTGTTCTACTGCCTTGTTGGCCTAGTTGTCGCATGTGCGACTGCCGGGCAAGGGGTCTCGGGTTCGATTTCCGGGTCGGGCAAAGTATTACTGGGTTTTCTAAAAATTCTCAGTAGTAGCACGGAGTCTGGAATTGTGCCCGGTATATGGCTATTACACCTACCCTATTACACGGGACTCATAACATAAATAGTAAAAAGTGGGTGTTAATGTAACAGTGGTATAATGTGCATCTCTGCCTACCCCTTCGGGGATAAAAGGCGTGATGTTATATTATGTTATGTTTAGCTTGTCTAATGTAGTGAAACTTTAGAACATAGCATGCTATATTATTTAAATTGTACTAAAGAAGCAGAGATGATGAAAATCAAATAAAAATCAAATAAGTAGTTTTTCAAAACAACTTAAGCATTGCATTAGCCTTTGTGTCATACAAAAAATTCAAGCAATGTATTGGCCTTTGCGTCATAAAGTACTTAAGTTATTAAGAAAAAGACTCAACCATTGTATTGGCCTTTGTGTCATAAAGTACTTAAGTTTTTAAGAAAAAGACTCAACCATTGTATTGGCCTTTGTGTCATAAAGTAATTGACGCTGATGTCAGTGCATACATAATAAAAAAATTAAGTCAGCAATTAAATAATACAGTAGAAGAAACGAAAGTGTAAGTACTAAAAACAGTGCAAAATAATACATAAATTCACCAGTATTTTATCAACGCTAAAAATGTACCCAGTATAAAGACTAAAAAGTAGGTCATGATACGATATTTTTAGAAAATTAATAACAAAAAAGGTAAAAGCATTCTCAATAAGGAATCCTGCTTACCCTTTATCACGGACGCCTATTTACCTGTAGGCATAATGGCAGAGTTTCTAACTGCGGAGTAGGGCGGCGGTGCTGGCGTAGACGCTGGCTTTGCTGTGTGCACTTGGCTGCTGTAACCTGTATGAAAGTATTAAAGGTATTTTAAGAGTGAGGTTTTTTTGAGTTTGAGGTTTTTTTGAGTTTGAGGTTTTTTTGAGTTTGAGGTTTTTGGAGTTTGAGGTTTTTTGAGTTTGAGGTTTTTTGAGTTTGAGGTTTTTTGAGTTTGAGGTTTTTTGAGTTTGAGGTTTTTTGAGTTTGAGGTTTTTTGAGTGTGAGGTTCTAGGTTTTTGGAGCGTAAAAGATATTCAATGAAATTCGTTGCGTTCTATTATATCTGCCTGCCCCAATGGGAGGTAGATGTGATGACTTGTATCTAGCGTATGTAATGAATTTGACTCGTTAGTAAAGTGGTTGTTAGAGAGACTGTCGAGTACGAAGTTTGAGATTCTAACGTCTCTGTCCGGCTCTTTGGGGATTGAAAGGTGAATTTTTTGCATTCGCGCCTATAAAAGAACAAGACCTTTTAACTACACCAAACTAAAATAAAAAATAGTTGACTATAACTTACCCATATTGCTATTTCTTAAATACGGGTTCCCATACGTAGCAGAGTACCTCAAATCAACATTAGGTTGAGGTTTTGTGTTCGGCTGGGCGTATATTGGTGTCGGGGACGCTACAAACAAAAATACACGGTCAGATACAATTTTTACGTTTTCATAATATACGTTTTATTATCTAGACTGGTAACGCCATCTAGTTTATAGTATGGGAACTATTTTTCGTATCAGCTTCGTAGCTGCTACGAAAAATATATGTAGCTCATGCTACGAATGTTTCCGTTTTGGTTTTCTATTTATCAATTAATAATATTAACGAAAGTTCATTTATGGTTGAATGCTTTTTAAGTCCAGTTGAAGCACCACGCCGGTATGGGTATATTAAAATAGGGAATTGTAGTTTCCTATCTTATAATACCAATAATATAACTGTTATAGAGTGGGTGTTACATTGAAATATGTGTTGTGTAATCTAACCCTTCACAGATTAAAGACACAATATATTATTTGGTACTTAACTATTTAGACTATCTAGACTGCCTCGTTGGCCGAGTGGTTGCAAGTGCGACTGCCGGTCAAGGGGTTTCGGGTTCGATTCTCGGGTCGGGCAAAGTATTATTGGTAGCACGGTCTCTGGAATTGTGCCCGGTATATGGCAATAGGCTCACCCCCTATTACATGGGACTCATAACATAAATTATAGTGAAACGTGGGTGTTACATTGTACCGTGGCATAATGTGCACCTCTGCCTACCCCTTCGGGGATAAAAGGCGTGATGTTATGTATGTATGTAACGATGTATTTATAAAAAATCTTGTACAAACCGTCACCGACTGGAAGTCCCAGACTATTAATTGCGTCCGTTTCATCTGAAGACTTGGTCGTTCGTTGTAACGTGTTATTTTGCGAACCATTGCCGGTTGACAATGGAAGCGTTGACGCCGTGTCGATGCTGCGCGTCAATGAACCTTGTAATGATCTGTGGGGGGAAAATTATCGTTGAATTTCTGTAGTTGAGGTATGTTTTGACTTAATTGTTTATCAGAACTTTAACTTATGTCAAAATACTCAAACGTCACTGAACTTTAAGTCATGCTAAAATATAGTTCTGTAACTACTAATTGTTTTAAAATGACAGAGATGGGATGATATTTAAGTACAATTTAAAATTGAGTATCCTTTCAGTATTCGGCCGTTAGTTTTCAAATTAATATTTCTGTAATAAAAGCTTTTGTGCATTCAATGATAAATTAGATCTAAGTATTTTAATTTTGGACCTAATCTATGTATTACCTAGACAAAAACTATAGATATACTAAGAATCATAGAACTAAGTAATCCCGTTGAATATTTTTGTAAATCAGAGAATCACCTTTTAAGATATATCTGTATTTTTTTTTAAATTGATATTATTTGTGTTTTATTTTTACTTGTATCGCTAATAAACATAAATATTTTGGATAAATAAATTAAAATTCGATAAGAAGTTCGAACCCATTTTCTACGTAATATTTACAATACAAAAATACACTATAAATACAATTAGATTTCCATTTCATAATCAAATAAGAAATACATTTTAAACACACAAACTATCTAAACCAAAAAACCGCATTTTACCAGTTTTGTTAGGGTTGGCAGTAGCTACTTAAATTGGGTAGAAATACAATCTGTTTTGAATTGCTCAAATGCCTTTTTTTAATACAATTTAATCCATTTAGTTATTTAATGTTAATAGATAATACTAAAATTACAACCCCATTTTTTCTTAGATGCACAATTTCAAAAATTGTAACAGGTGGTTATTAATAGTGTGTGATTAATAGTAAACATTATTTATTAGTGAAAAATATCAAATGATTTTGAAATATTAATTACAAACAAAAACCAATTCAAAGTCACATAACAATCGAATTTCGACCGTCCAATAAAACGTTTTCCAATTCTCAAGTAAGTGACAACCCTAATTCCCCTTTTAACTCTCACAATAAAGAAAATAAAAATAAAATAATCATGTACTTACCTACTAGGAGGCTCGAGGGGGGGTGACTGTACGCGGAGGTGGGGGGGAGGGGCGTACCCTTGTGGGTAGTCGTACACGTACCCCGCGGGGCTCTGCCATGAAACATGTAATACCACCTTTATTTTACCGCAGTAGGTTACGTTGTTAGGTGAATGCAGAAAATCCATTTTGATTGGTTCCCATTTTATAGAAAAAAAAATTTACTATGTCAAAGTTCTTTGTCATTTTGCTTGTTAAAGATTACAATTTAAATTCGTTACATATTATTATCTAAACTTAAAAATGAGTTGCATTGCTTTTTAATTTTGCGTTGCAAAACGACTATAAAGAATTTTGTTTTAATAAGTAAACTAACTACATGATTGGAAGCAATCAATACCAATACGAATTCCTAGCTTTTGACACGATAAAAATGATAATACAAAAAAAATATTAACTCGTTGAGTACCGTCATTATAGACACAATTAAACTGTCAAACACCAAGCGGTCACCGGTGACCGCAACCTATTGTTCTTTAATTGTGTCTATAAAGACGGTACTCAACAAGTTAAAGAACAATAGGTTGCGGTCACCGGTAACCGCTTGGTGTTTGACAGTTTAAGTCAACTTTGATAAAGAACAAAAAGAAATACATATTTTGTCCAAAATGGATTTTCTGCCTCCATTCTCTTACTGTTTACAAACAAAAGGTATTATTTCAGATAACTTGTGACTGTCAAATTGCTTTCTTTTTCGCTTTTGTAGTTTGATCTGAATTTCAGCTTGCGAAAATATGTTTTCCCTTTGATGTGGTATTAGCCGAGGTTTTCTTCATGATATAAAGGTAAAATAAAAAATATTATGGTATGCTAAAGTGCTCGGTTGAGTTGCTACTTATATTCGATTTTGATTTAGGCACTCAAAATGTTACTTTAGTATTGTCTGATAGGGTCGTTTTTGTTAATGCTTTATTCATTTATTATATACAAGCAACTGTAGATTGTGACGATTTGTGGTATTAACTAATAATCGCGGGTTACTCATGAGCAGCGTGGCCGAGCGGCGAAGTCGCGTAGCATACTGACTAGCCAAGTATGCTGCTGTACACTGCTCATAAGGAAGAGCGTTGTGGCTTGAAACTAGTAGATGATATTTTAGTATTTTCACGTGAGTAACCCGCGATTTTGAGTTAATCTAGTATGTCCCACGACGGTAATTTGTAGTATTGATTCTTATCATGCAATAATTTTCTATATTATTAAAAGTACCAGCTTTTTATTACCTCTAACATAGATGTATTGACTTTTGTATATAAGAATTTTGAAAGAATGTCTGAGCACTTAGAATCTTAAAAACTTACAACAGACTCTACGTTTGAATGGTTAAAAGCCATTTTACTATACAATAAATTCACTGTATTTTTATGAATTGAATAGCTTCGACGTTATATTTTATTCAGAAAAATATCGTTTGTGAATAGAATTGTAAGCTTCTATAGAAAATATCTTAGTACTACTTTAAAGATTAAGACTTAAGAGCCATATTTTCAAAAACTATTTTCCCAAAAATTAGACCAATTTGACAGTCACTTCAAAAAGTAATGTAGACAATAATAAGACTTAACCTACCTTAAAATAAGGATCACTATACGTTGGATCGGAGTAATCGTTGCTATATCGGAACTGCATCAGAGGATCATCATGTCGAAGGTTGGGGAGAGGCACAGGTCCAGCTAACGGTAGACCTGCATGCAGCTTGCTGTCTGAACGATCGGAGCTTGTGTAGTCCTGGGAAGGATAGTGGTTTTGTAATGTTTATTTTTGATGCACGCCAAACGCAATGAAGATAATATCGATTTTCTGCTTTGAGATTTTTTTCAGAAATATTCGTAGCTGAGTTAGAGAGTGGTAATGTAAACACGAAAACTGGCTAATGTTGACGATGATGATGAAGTTGAACCTAATTTTGAAAACTTTATATTATCTCCTGCTCTTCAAGATATGATTAATTGGACAAGCCAAACAAAGTGAAGTTTACTGAAGCTATTATTACAAGAATGAAAGTAATGTCATGTGTTTTTTTATACCTAACATTGTTATCAAAACAAAAATTGTTTAATTTAATCTTGGGTGCTATAGCTGCAGACCAATTCTCAGATCACACTTATTAAGAACAGAAAACCATCATTTACTTCTTCTTTCTTTCTTCTTAACCGATGAGCATGCATGAAAAGACTGATAACTTGATGAAGTTAAAGAAGTATGTAAGAATCAATTGACGTTCCATAGTCTCTGACTATTCCCATCGGAGATAGATGTGACGTTATGTATGTATGTATGTATGTATGTTCTTCCAGAACTTACCAATTCATAGCTCCCATCACTTTGAGGCAGCTGCAGCTTAAGATCACTGATATTAGAGCTCCTATCACTCTCCTTATTATAAACATCTCCAGTTGTTACAGTCACATCTGGTTTCTCATTCATCTGGCCCTTCTTCCGTCTCCTGCGATGGCAGACCACGACCAGAATGATGAAGGCAGAGAATATTACGATGCCAGATGTCACGCCGATCAGGATTATGTATAGTGGTAGGGTTTCTGCAAAGAAGATGTTTGTTAGAAGCTGCATTACTGGTTGGAGATTGCAGATTTATGTATCAAGTTCATCAACTGAGTAAAGTTTTATTGCGTGTTTAAATTTAGAAATCGTCAGTAATAGCTTTCTTTTGAGAATTTGTTCTTTTTTAGCTACAGAATATTTCGTATCACTAGTTAAAATGTTCGGGCATCAGCCGAGTATGAGTACGTGTGTCGATAATTTTCAAAATTGAAAAACAAAGTACTAAATTACTTTATCTCACTCTCACATAAAATGTTGACAGTAGCAGCTATAGTTGCAACGACTACCGAAGGAAGCAATCTATTCAATAAACTAGAGATATTTTTTACTAATTTAAACTCTATCTATGATACTTACTCAAAGGCTTTAGCATGATAGCAGCATTGGCGTTCCCATACTCATTAGTCACGCTGCAGTTGTACTGCCCATAGTGTCTGGACTGACTGGCTCTGATCACCAGGCTGGACTTAATCACACCATCTGGTAAGGTCTCTTCTAAGGTCGCGTAGTCCTATGCGAGAATTATTAGTTAGTTTCCTATCGTAGGTAGTTATAATCTACGATCCTTCTTGTTTATTTTTGAGTGATTTTAATTGTTTTGAGAGTTGATGATTGGTTTCTGTGCAAGATATCTTCAAAACGATTTTGTTCACATATTTAAAAAACCACTAGGAGATTCCATTACCTCCTTCCATTCCTACCAGAGATTGGGGAAGAGGGGGGCCCCTTCCCCAATCTCTGAATCCCCAACAATCCTCAAATTCTTAATCCCCAAAAGGCCAGTAACGCACTTTGTAACGCTCCTGGTGTTTCACGTGTCTTTGGGCGATGCCGACCTAGCATCAGGTGATCTGTCTCCTCGTTTACGGAATTATTCCATAAAAAAGGCCTTGAATGCAGTTAAACAGTCAGTAATCAGTGTTTCTACGGGATGCTTATGGTGTACGACAACAGACCTATCTAAGATTTATAAGGCCTTAATTTACATAACACCTCAAATATAAAAAAGAAATTAAAGCTAAATTCTTGATGTAAATTTTACTGCCTCGTTGCCCGAGTTCGCAAGTGCGACTGCCAGACAAGGGGTCTCGGGTTCGATTCCCGGGTCGGGCAAAGTATGACTGGGTTTTTAAAAATCTCAGTAGCAGCATGGAGTCTGGAAATGTGCCTGGTATATGGCAATAGGCTCACCCCCTATTACATGGGACTCATAACACAAATAGTGAAAAGTGGGTGTTACATTGTACAGTGGCATTAAATGCCGAAATGTGCACCTCTGCCTACCCCTTCGGGGATAAAAAGGCGTGATGTTATATTATGTTATGTTGTACTCACCGGATCCTGGATGACACTGATCTCCCGTCCCTCGAAGTACCACCTGATATCATCAGGCTTAGGTACTGATCGTGCAGCACATTCTATCCTCACACTTTCTCCTTCCATACCAAACTGAGTTCGGTTTGATAGGATGTTTGGAGCACCTATGGGAAAGAAAATACTTTTAGGATTTCTGTCTATTTTTGATTGGTTGATTGCACTTAAAGTTTATGCTTCGAATCTCCAAGTCAGGCAAACGTTAATATAATAATGAAGATGTTAGGTGGATGGATCAAGGGCCTGACACAGAAGGCAAGTTCTCTTTGAAACGGGTCGTATCGTGAGGAGGTTCTGACTCTGGAGCCCTAACCACCGGTAGCACCGACTCCTTACTAATCAGTGGGTGGGTAACCTATAAGTACGACGAATATAAAACCAATAATTATAGTTATTTTTTGCTTATTAGTTTTAACGTTTTCTTTGTGTTTATTAATTTAAGCATTTAGTTCAAAATATGGTTATTTTGCGCTGCTAAACATAATCTTGTCAGGTCTTGATATGGGTCAAATGTAGACAAAAAAGTTTTTAAGGTTAGACCTTATTGTGATAATGTTTTTTTGCCATTGCAGTTAATTCTTCTTATAAAGTCTTACATAGACTTTATCGATACAAAAAATGTAGCGCAAAATGAACTTCATAACAGTTCTTCAAAGCTGAAGGTGAATCGAATGTTATTTTCAATAGATTTTCATGTCTGTCTTAAATAAAAGTAACAGAAGCAAACGTTTTTCTAAATAATTTCATTTGAAATATCGTCTAGATTTCTAATAATGTATTTTTCATTGCAAAAGTAAACGATTTTATTTTTAAAATCAGTACATAGAATTCTTTCAAATCACGACTGTACACTATTCAAAGGTTTATATTATGAAAATATATAACACTAGGCCCTATCTGAAACTGAATTCTATGTCGCCGTTGGTTAATAACATAAATACTTAAATTATATTATTATACATACTCAAACAAAATTCATAGTCAAATTTTCTTATTTTATCTTCTTATTTTATGTTTTACGGTTTACTCACTATATACCCAACACTGAACATCATATCACGGCAACAGCCTGTAAGTGGCCACTGCTGACCTAAGGCCTTTTCTCACACGGAGAAGGTTTGAGCATTAATAACCACACTTGCTCAATGCGGATTAGCGATTTCACACGAACTTTCTCCTCACGATGTTTTCCATCACCGTTTGTCAGTGGTGTCTAAATAATCTAAGAAAGTACTATAACTCGGAAAAAGTTTCGAACCTACGTCCTCATGCATGAGAAGCAGGCGCCTTTAACCTCAGGCCCACCACGACAACACTGAATATCATTTATCAAACTGTTACGCAGGTCTTAAAAATATTGTTTTACAACTGTCTCACAAAAGAATAATATAAAATGGTACTTACTCTTAATGAAGATGGTAGCTTCACTCTCAATCTCAGGGTACCCTTCCTCAATGACCTTGCAGATGTACCGTCCAGCTGTCTCCGCATTCACGTAGACCTTCAAGTTGGGAGCCTTTCCTTTGACCTGCTGAAATGCATACATGTTCAAATAATGCTGTCTAATTTGTAAAATGGGATAGGACATATATTTTGGGCTACTAAGTATTCAGAGTCAATTTTTGGGTTGATTTCCTAGGTCGGTCATAGGCTGTCGCGTTCCGCGCGCGCCTCAAGGAGCCATCAGACCACCACAGATGGGGCCTAACAGGGCTGATGCCGATACGGAGCCGCGGAAGACTTAACGGATTGCCGGGGCTCTGGCTCAAAAAAAAAGCGCATGACTACTCAATACAATTTAAATATCAAATCATTTTAAACGAAATACCAGTAAAAACTAACCAATGACCGACCCTTTTTTTGAGGGGGGAAAATCATCGAATGGCTGCTCCCGCTTGGGTGACGCAGGAGGGAGTGTCAGACTCTTACTGGCTAAAAACCACCCCGTTCCTTCTCCTGCACGTCAAGCCGGAGCCCCGATAACCCCGATAAGGTTCTCCGCGACAGGTCTGTTTCGTCCTTTAGATTTGCATTTTTTATTTTATTTGATGGCAGTATTCTTGTGTAAATTTTCCGGATATTTAATACTTCTACGTTACAATTTTGGAACAGCGTCTTTCAATGGTAAACCAGGATAAAAAGTTAATGTTAGATTTTGAAATATTATATTTCAAATCTCAGTCAGTAATATTTTAATACAAAACGATGACTGATCTAATGTTAGCACATGTTTATGCGGTTAGATAGAGTGTTAGTCATACTGACGAATACATATAGGTTTGACGCAATATTTTAAAAGATTACAGACATACTCCACACTTTGGTGAATAACAGAAAATATTGAATTTTGTAAATCGTGGAAAAAAATATATTTTTTTATGGCATAAGCCGGTAAATAGACAGACGCATCACTTGATGGTAAGCAATCGGCGTCGCTCATAGACACCTGGAACACCAGATGCGTTACAAGTGCGTTACCGGCCTTTTGGGGATTAGGAGATTCTTTGGCGTCAAGTAAATGTATGCGAAGTCTAGGCATACGGAAGCGTATCTAGGCAGGTATAAAGAAAGACAAGGAGTGCAATATACTCCTTCTAGGTAAATGAATAACCTCAAAAACCACGACAGTTGACATATTGAGTGAAAACAAAACCAAAATCATAAATTGTAATATAATATGTACAAACAAGATTAGAAGACAAGTATAATTTTGTCGTATAAATGACTAAACAAATTTTAAAAAGTATTTTTTTAAATCTTATCCAACACTAAGTATTTCTCCTGTATCGTGGGTTCGTTTACAAACATTCAATTCCACATACACAAGACACCCAGACACGAAACAACAATTTGTTGATCTCATAAAGAGTTGCTTCGTGCTGGAATCGGACCTGCTCGTGAAGAATCGGACAGACACGTTGCACGGCAGCCAGTTGCATAGGCACTGCATCAACTGTGCAGCCAAGTAAATTTATTCCATAACTCAGTTGTAGCTATAACTAATATAGTACTCGTTTATATTGGTTTTTCTCTTATATTATTGTACACCCAATAACTCAACTGTAGCATTTCTATGAACAGGTACCCCCATTAACCCTTTGAGTAGCGTCATTATAGACACAATTAAAGAACAATAGGTTGCGGTCACCGGTATCCTCGCGGTATTTGACATTGCCATCATGGTATTCACTTACCCCTATCCGTCCAGGTTCGTGGAACAGCCACCTGATCTCCGGCTGGGGCTGGCCATCCACATCGCAGCTCAGTACCACACTGGATCCAATGTCAGTCTCCACGTTCTGTGGCCTCGTTCTGAAGGTTGGTGGGTCTGTGAACAACATAACATAAATCACGCCTTTTATCCCCGAAGGGGTAGGCAGAGGTGCACATTATACCACTGTACAATGTAATACCCACTTTTCACTATTTATGTTATGAGTCCCATGTAATAGGGGGTGAGCCTATTACCATATACCGGGCACAGTTCCAGACTCCGTGCTACTACTGAGAATTTTTTTTAAAACCCAGTAATACTTTGCCCGACCCGGGAATCGAACCCAAGACCCCTTTACCCGGCAGTCGCAATTGCGACCACTCGGCCAACGAGGCAGTGAATAAAAGTATTTTTCTCCAATATATGATTAAAAGTATTATTTTCCAATATATTATTTTGTCTGGTGATTTCAATGGTGAGGTTGGTTGGGTATGAGAACTTTATGGAATCGGATATACGTATTGAAAACATGAAAATTGTTCACTCCATTGTACTCCGTCGTTTCTTGTTTCTTGGAGAGAACTTGGAGTAGAAGTACGTACTTACATTTAGCATAGTACCTGGTATAAATTCATGCAGATAAGTCGATGATCAAATGATACCAGATGATCGGCACGGTTACCAACAGTAATCAGAAAAATTTTGATAAAATTCCGAGTCACAGTAATAGTTTCTAAATGCCAATGAATTACGTGTTATCACCTGGTGCCATTTGATCGTCGGCTTCAGAGACACCCTTATTACCAACATTCATAAATTTTTCAATTATTAATTACTAGCTACTTCCGCGCGGTTTGACACGCTCTGCTCAGCTCCTATATTGGTCGTAGCGTGATGGTTTATAGCCTATAGCCATCCTCGATAAATGCTCTATCCGATACAAAAAGAATTATTCAAATCAGACTTGTAGTTACGGAGATTACCGCGTTTAAACAAACAAAAAAAAAACTCTTCCGATTTGTATATAAAGTATAGTATAAGATTCGAAACTTGTTGACTTTGAAAAAGAAAAATGTATCTGCATGTCACCAAATAATCACATGTCAATTAAACGTCATAGTTTTACAAAAAGCCACAACATTCCAAATTTCAATTTCCCAAACATTTTCCTGTTCAACCAATCAGCGTTTAGTGTCATGACGTCACAAGTAGTGGGTGCGCGCACGCATGTTATGGTGTTGTATCATCGGTATAAACAACGCGGCTATTTCTTCTACTAGAAAACCGGATCATGACGTGTTTAAATAATAAAACCCTGAAATAATTGTTTGGGTATTTCCAGTGTTTGGGCTAGAGTATTTTTTTTCAGTAAGTATTTTACACACACATTACATCACGCCTTTTATCCCCGAAGGGGTAGGCAGAGGTGCACATTACGGCTCTTAATGTCACTGTACAATGTAACACCCACTTTTCACTATTTATGTTATGACTCATAACTACTGCCATATACCGAGCATAATTCTAGACTCCGTGCTACTATTGAGATTTTTTTAAATCCAGTAATACTTTGCCTGATCCGCGAATCGAAACTGAGACCCCTTGCCCGGCAGTCGCAATTGCGACCACTCCGCCAACGAGGCAATCTTCAGTAATTATTTTACACTTTCTCATAAATAAACTGTATCAATGAACTACAGATAAAAAATTGGAATTGTCAATCTTGTGGATAATATTAGGCCTTTAACTATGAAATTGATGTTCTGTAGTACTGGCCATTTCAAAACAAAATAGTTTTTGTTTGGCTAAGAATTCTAATTTCAAAATCGTAATTTAAGCTGAGTCATAACTTTGAAGCTGTTACCATACTGTCTCTGTACTGGATGACATTGAATAAATTATTATTTTCTTCCTGCATACTACCTAAATATTAATTTGGCTGACCATGCAATTTGAGTGCAAACGAAAATATCATTTAAGGTGATACTTACAGGTAACTTCTAGGGTGATATTCCCATCACTTTTCCCAACCGAATTGCTGACTTCACACCTGACTTGTGCTTTGTGGTGTTTTCGAGTCACATTGAAGATGATCTGCAACAAAATACAAAAGATAAGTTGTTTTGAACCCTTGATAGCACGGTTGGCGCGGTGGCTGGGCAACTGGCTGCCGCGAAATATGTGGCGGTTTCGATTCCCGCACTGAGCAACTCTTTGTGTGATCCACATATTGTTGTGTCAGGCCTAACTGTCATGCATATGCGAACCCACGACGTGGAGCAATACTAAAAACAATAAGGGTTTTGCCCTAATCTCTATATTTGGCAAGTGGATCGGAGATCGCCACTACCCTTTTTATTTTTGAGAGGACAAAATTATCCAAGGTCTTCTCTAGGCTTGAGTTAGGCGAGCGAGTCATATTCTTACTGACTAAAACCCACACCGTTCCTACTTCTGCTTCGAGGCGGAGTCCTGGTAACCCGTTAAGTTGTCCGCAGCTCCGTGTGCGACGTACCCTTTCTCTGTCAAATATGAATTTCCTAAGTCAGTTATGACTCCCGTGGAAACAGTAGCAGTGATTACCAAAATGTATGTTGTTATGCCGTCTCCGCAAAGTATGGCCGTTAGTTCAAATAAACCAAATTAGCCATAACTATCGTAAACAACCCATAACAGACGGGACAAACAGACATGTTCTAAATTAGACAGTAATGCATATTTTGATTTACTGCATAAGTTTGTGCACCATGTACACATTGAGCTACGTAAAACCACTTTATCTTGATCTCCCTATGTACGACAGTTGCTTACATTTAACGTTCAGTTTACACTGGTTTTGCGTAGCTTGATGTGTCGTGTCTACCTAGCAGTACCTACGTTGCATAATGTTATAGTTAATGCATGAACGCGCCACCCGGCAAATTCAGCTGTACACTACACATCAAGCTATGTGAATCCAGTATAAACAGGTCCTTGAATGTGCGAAAAGATCATACAAAGGGCGACCAAGATATACTGGGTATTATAGTTTGACATGAAACCGTATGTACGTTGACTTTAGAGCGAATTGCTCTCTGTTGCCTAATTAACGATTATGTTGCTTTGTTGTTCTTGTTTTATTTGTCTGTGGAAGTACATTGTTGAGTATTCTAATCTAATGTAGGAGGTTAATGTCTTTTTTGAAGAGATTGTTGACAATGATTGGATAGATCTCGTCCTTTATCTCCGGAGGAGTAGATAAGGGACGCTATGGTCTAACTGAATCAAGAGTTACTACTGAGCAACAAAGAAATCCGATTTCTTGAACAGGTATACGTGCTTTTTTGCAATGAAAACCGTAAAATAACAGACAAAACGAAGTAAAATAAATAACTGTGACATAGCAACGATAACCTCCTTCTGTCTGTATCCAACAGCATACCCAAGCTGACACTGATTGCAGGACAGTTATCCGGACGGCACTACTGAGGAGAAGCATGCCGCCGTCGTCTTTGGATATCATGACAGCTTCATTGTCCAGTAATTCTTTAAAACAATATAACATTGCAATTCGTCGTTAGGTAAGCTTTTGTAAATACCACTTGTGAGACGTATACGAAGCGTCAATTCCAAATTAATTGATTTTATGAGAGATAAAAAACTTTTATATGGAATAGGAGGCAAATGAGCAGACGAATCACATGATGGTAAGCGATCAGTGCCGCTCATGGTCACCCGCAACTCCAGAGGAGTCACAGCTGCGTTACCGGCCTTTTGAAAAGGAATAAGCTCTTTTCTTGAAGTTTTGAAGGTCGTATTAGCTACGATAATAATAAATTTATTCAACCAAAACTTTAATATGCAAGCAACTGTCTTTTTTTACACCTTAGTGTACACCTTCAAGACAATGAAAGGTTTAATGTACGCTACCATTTACACAGATTTTAAAGTCTTGTACTTGCTGTACTAAGCATGGCTTACATTGTCTAGCACATGCAGTTTACCCTACAGTGTGCAAGCAACATTTATAACAAAATCTCCTCAACTGTGAAGCATGCACGCTAGACATTATTGTCGTCATTCCGCTCATAGTGTTGTCCGTACTGTGTTACTTAGTATAATGCTCTTGTAATTGGTGCAGGAATAAATTATTGCTTCTTAAGATTTAATTTACTGACTGCCGGTATATGGACACAATAAAATATACATTGGTGTCTCATGTGGTTGAAGTGGTCCGGAGGTTTAAGACGCCCGCTTCTCATGCATGAGAGTGCGGGTCGAAACTACCAACGGCAAGTACCAATTTGACTATTTCCGACTTATATGTACTTTCTAAGATTATTTAGACACCACTGACAAACGGTGAAGAAAAAACATCGTGAGGAAAACTGGGCTTATAATTTCCAATTATAAGTTTGAAATTGCCAATCCGTATTGAGCAAGCGTGGTGATTAAAGCTCAAACCTTCTCCATGAGAGAAGAGGCTTTGCTCAGCAGTGGGCATTTATAGGCTATTAATGTGTTTTACACAGATCTACGTTCATATCGGAGGCATACGATATACCATAAGTCTAACGTTTGTAATTGTAGATTTCTATAGCCAAGTAAGTTCAGTAAAATTGGTTTCTTTCCATCCATCCAAGAAACAGATCATCTAAGACTAGGATGAGGTAAGCTAAAAATGATACTGAAGTCAAAATTAGACAATAAAAGATGAACAGGCTGTATTGTCCTTTAAACTGTTGGCGACCAAACTACAAAAATCCAAGCGGGAGAATTATGACATTGTTTCCTATCAAAGAAAAGGTATGCATCTATCAGTTAGTAATTTTGATCATCAAAATACAAACCACGGAACTGCATATTAGTCTATCACTTATTCTAATTATAATTGTGAAAGGTCACTCACCATCTCATCAGCATAATCGCCTATCACAGGGTTATTGTTGATGTACCACCGGTAGAACTGAGCCGGAGGGTTTGCATCCACATCACACCGGACCCTCAGCTCCGACCCTTCAGGTATCTTGCCCCTATTAGCTCCGGAGCTGATTGATATGTTCACTTTTGGTATGTATTTGACCTTGAAAAAAGAATTAAGTTTAGAATAGAATTTGTAAATGAAGATTTTGTCTTTTGAATTCATCATGTGGTTTCATTAGTGCATAAGAGTAAATAGATGTAAAAAGACGTCTTTGATTTGGTATCTAACCAGTAAATGGTAACAGATTTAGAAAGGACTTCCTCTTGGATTGATGGGTCCATCTCTTTGAGCATTTAGACTCTTTGTGTTTCAAAAAGTCTCGTCACAAAATAAATAACATATACAAATGTTCGAAAAACATGACACTATCCTGGTCTTCCTTAGCCAGCTGTAGAAGTCTGATTACATGTCATTTAATAGTAAAATCTGATATGAAACCTCATTTGGAAAAGGCAGCGAGAGAAATATTCGAAAAATATCATTAGCTAGAGGGAATAGAGTCTATTTCTTTAAAAGTTTAGACATAAATCGTACTGTTTACCAGATAATTATGATAGTTACCTCTATATGCACAGTGGCCATCCTAGGAGCTCTGTCTGCTGTGTTCTGTGCTTGACACGTAATAGTTTGATTGTGGTGACCCTTCGTTGGGGTTAACCGCAAAACCGACCTGTGATAGATGTATCTGTATTACTATCTATTAACTATCCCACTAATATTATAAATGGAAAATTTTGCATGTTTGTTTGTTTGTTTGTTTGTTCGTTATTCCTTCATGACAAAACGGCTGAAAGGATCGGGATGTAATTTGTAACAGGAATAGATTATGGTTTGAAATAACACGCAGGCTACTTTTTTGTTTTATGGGAAATCGAGAAAAACGGCTGTAATGTAATTAGTAATCTTCTCGGATTACCAAAGGTGTAATCCGCTAAATACAATATTTTTTTAAAGTGTAATTAGACAGAGTTACATTTTGGCATGTAAGTCTACTAAATCACTGAGTTCAGGTAGTCAGAAAAAAGAATTTTTTGAACTGACAAGCTATAGGTACATTCATACATACATACATACATAACTTCACGGCTGTCTCCCATGGGGGTAGGCAGATACTAAGGAACGCCAATTACCACGATTCTTACATACCTCTTTCACTTCATTAAACATTATTTACTATAGGTACATTAATATTAGCTATATTGGTTTTGATTAAAAAAATTGCTAACAAATAACAATGTCAATTGAATTCATGGCAAAACATGAGTTTTTGTAAGACAAAAGAAGGAGAAAGTCATTCTGATACTTTAAAATGTAGACCAACCTTGTAATATACCGCTGGCCGTCAGGTAACAATTCGACTGTACTTTTGACTGGCTTCTTAATTACTTGCTGGTTTCCATCCAGCCATGTGATCTAAAGGAAAGAGAAAATTATTATAAACATCTAGACGAAAAATTTTGCTCAAATTGAAAACGACTGTATTACTGTAAAAAGAGAAGATGAAGAAGAAGTGGGATCATCTGACCACTACTTAGGACAAATCCTAAAAACATGCTTCTTCTGTCTCTCTTGCTCTCATGTATAGATAACATTAACCCTTTGAGTATCGATATTATAGACACAATTAAAGAACAATAAGTGTGCGGACACCGGTGTCCTCGCGGTGTTTGACAGTTTAATAAGACATTTTTCATTCTCTACATCACTTAAATATCTCTAGTATCATCACCACATGTAGTAATTCAGTCTGTCTAGTAACATCACATGCATCATGTAAACTAATATTTATTATTGTCACACATTTTAATGAAAACGACACTCTCATTTCTTTCTTACTTATTCTTATCATTATAATCAACAAACAATTGAGAGTTCACCAATGAACCATGAGTGTCATCTACAAAACAAGCGTTTAGCATATTTTCCACCCTTAAGAAGCGGATTAGAGATTGCAGTTTAAATAGGTTAGTTTTAAGTGTGGGAGAGCCACGGGAGAGCCATGCTTCGGCACGAATGGGCCGGCTCGACTGGAGTGATACCACGGCCTCACAGAAAATCGACGTGAAGCAACGCTTGCGTTTTGTTTCATCGTGTGAGTGAGGTTACCGGAGGCCCAATTACCCTCCCCTTCCCCAATCTCCCCAGTTCCTGAATCCCCAACGATCCTCAAACTTCTAACCCCCAAAAGGCCGGTAACGCACTTGTAACGCCTCTGGTGTTCCAGGTGTCCATGGGCGACGGCGATTGCTTACTATCAGCTGATACCGTCTACTGGCTTATGCCATAAAAAAATGCCTTATGGATCGACGTGCTCCGTAGACCGCATCATCACTTATCACCAGACGAGATAATGGTCGGCCCATCAAACAACAAAAATAACACTAAAATTACTACATACCTCAGCAGCAGGCTTTCCTCCTGAAGAAACACACTCGATCTCCACTGGCTGGTCTTCAGTCGCATCTATGAAGGCTCCTCTTAATATCCTGGGTGCTTCAGGAGCGACCAGAACTGTTAGCTGAGCGTAGCGGGAGCGAATCGCTGGCTCATCTAAGAAAAAATGTCGTTATGTTAATATAGAATGCATGGTTAGCACGGTGGCTGGGTACAAGTGCGTTGCTTGCCTTATAGGGACTGGCGATAGCTTACCCTGCCGATCGCATCTAGTTTTTCAATTCCGAAATTAAAATATTTTATAATAGACATCTTGCCTAAGTAAGAATCAAATCAATAGATTATTTCGTCAATAAAAATACAGACACAATACTTTTCATATCGACTCAAGGAAAGTATAATAATAATAATATCTTAGACATAAGTATTGGTATAAGAATATACAGGCTATATAGGTAAGTAATATCTTGAGAATATATCTCATTATTTCTACAAGTGAACCAATAGCTTTCTTGATACTTTGTCCAAGTTATTGTAACAAATAATTGCTTATGATCTTTGTATTATAACTCATATAGAACAGCTATTTACTTTCTACATAATGGAATGAGTAACGAAAAACAAATGAATACTTTATTTATTCAAGTTATATTGTGATGAAACTGTATACTCGTATTAATCCCCCTTAAAAAAAATAAAAAATACTTGTATTAATAGAAAAACTGTCGAAACGAGCTCTGTAGTCCTTCTTTCAGGTTTAAATATAACTAGCTTTTACCCGCGGCTTCGCTCGCGTCACAAAAGGATAAAAGTAGCCTATGTGACATATAGCCAATACACACAGCGCCATCTATACCAATTCTTTTGTTTTCCCTCGAGAATACCAAAATTTTCCGGGATAAAAAGTACCCTATTATTTATTCCGGACTTCTAATTTTACGTCTGCGAAAATTCAAAGCTATCGGTTTAGAAGTCACGGCGTGAAAGCGGAACAAACAAACAAACTCACTTTCCCATTTATAATAGTAAGGATTCAACAAAAAAACCAATCGTCGTCTATAACTTAGTGACAATCCTCAATCTCCAAATCCACCATACCTAAAAGATGGCCACTAGGAATTCCATGCTCATTTTTCGCCCTATACCTTAAAAAGATGTCTCCAGACACCTGATGTTAACAATTACCACAGGTAGTCAAACACGAAAAAAAATATTGACGAATCTAATCAAGAATATAGAATAATATGTTGTATGATAAAAATTCCACAAGGTCTCAAAAAATTCGTGAACATAATAATCACTTTTGAAAAGAATGTCGCTACTTACTGTTTAGCCCGGAGCTAACTTGGCACTGATATAATCCGTCATCTTCTAGACTGACATCCCTGATATCTAGAGAGTAGTCTCCTGGAACAAATATATTAACATTAGTCTTGTAATTAAAGAAAATAAAAACACCAAAGACGCTTTAAACACAGGATACATATTTCTCTTTGCAAGTTGTATTTCGTCCTTTAAAAATATATGTGAAACAAGTGAATTTATTTCTGCAAATAGGCTACAAGGCAGCACTTTTACACGTCAATTTTATCAAGCGAACGATGAGGTCGACATTTCGTAACTGACTACTCTGAGAAGACATGCCGAAACAAACTCAGTATGTTTAATGTAGTGTCAATTTTTGCCGGTTATGTCTGTTGGTCTGTCTGTGTAGAAGTAGGAAAGCAAGCTTATTACACAGGATTTAATACGTGACTCAAGTCTTTTACTGAGAATTCTGTAAATTTGACCTAGTAGCCACAGGCGAAATCCCTTCCTCGACAGTCGCACTTCGTAAAACTTAGGTTTGTGAGTGATGTTAACTAGTGAGTTTGGCCGATTAAACTTTACTTAATTAAATATCCTCATATCGACCTTAAACTATATGACATTACAAAAGAACACCCGGCAAAAACTAAGAACGAAATCGTGTAGAAAACGAACAAAGAACATAATACAATAAGTGCAGCCATTGAAAAATCTATCAATACTAAAGCAAGAAGGAAATAATTAAACTCATAATCCTCATTAAACATTCCTTTAGTCTGAACTAAAGCTAATAAAGTTACTGTAAAAAGCAATGCAGCGTTTCAACGAAGAGATTTTATTTAATAAGCAGCTGACGAAGGCATTTTGTAGGATTCCAGTGAAATGGGCAGAGTTGGAATTATTTCAATTGAGTACAATTGATTTGTACTGTTGAAGTGGTTTGAAGATTTATATTTGATTTAGTTTTGAAGTGAAGAATCGACTTTTCTTTATCGAAGTGATTGTTTCCAATGAAATCGAAATGCGTAACTTGTGCGTCATTTTTTTTTCTTTGTGAATACTTTGCCCTACACTAGGATTTTCTCCTGTGTCGTGGGTGCGTTTACAAACATACAAGTTCACATACACAATGACACCCACACCCGAAACAACAATCTGTGCACGGCAGCCGGTTGCCCAGCCACCGCACCAACCGTGCAGTCTTTGCCCTACACCAGATTTTCTCCAGTGTCGTGGGTGCGTTCACATACATATGACACCCGGACCCGGAACAACATTCTGTAGATCACACAAAGAGTTTCCATGCGGGAATCGAATCCGCGATACGTTGCGTGGTAGCCGTGGTAGTTGTCCAGTCACCGCGCCAACCGTGCAGTCAAAATATATGCTTTAGAGCAACCGTGACAGCCCAGTGTTGGAATATGTGACGCTTCTACATAAGAGGGTTTTGTCAGAATCACCACGGTTGGAGAACGCAGTTAAGAATAAATTGTCTAGATTGTCCCGGTCTCCACCGACCACAGAGTTTAGTCAAAGATATTTCGACCAAATAATAAATGAATATTTCCATTCCGACCGGATCAGATGAAATATTAAACTGTGAACCGCCAAACACCAAACGAAAACCTTTCATCCGCAGTAAAGTTTAAGGTTCACTTTATAATTAAAACAAATAAATAATTAATAACTACGAACTAATAATTACTTGGGAACCAATTAAAGTTAGAAGTTTTGTTACAGTTTTTGTTACTGAAGTTGTTTTCTTGTTAGTTTTCGTGACGATTAAATATTTAGGGCTATTTTTTTTTAAACGTTGCCCCACATTTGGATCTTCTCCTGTGTTGTGGGTGCATTTACAAACATACAATATCACATACACTTGACACCCAGACCCGGAACAATAATCTGTGGATCACACAAAGAGTTGCTCCGTGCGGGAATCGAACCCACGACACGTTGCACGGCAGCCGGTTGCCCAGCCACCATATTTGTTTAACTAGCTTTTTGTGTTAATGTAAGATTATATCGCCTGCTCCAGGAGCCAGAGGTGTACTTGCATCTACCAACTTATTATTTTCTAAAGGTGTAAAAATGGAATGATATTTTCTTGGTGATGAAAAATGGACGGCCTCGTTGTCCGAGTGGGCGCAAGTGCGGCTGCTGGGCTGGGTCTCGGTTTCGATTTCCGGATTGGGCAAGGTATTACTGGTTTTTCGAAAAGATATATGGCCATAGGCTCACTCCCTTATTACATGGGAGTGATAACATAAATAGTGAAAAGTGGGTGTGTGAAAAGTACTAATGAGATTTTATTTTAAAAACCAAGTAATAGTTTGCCCGACCCGGGAATCTAACCCGAGACCCCGTGCCCGGCAGTCGCACTTGCGACCACTCGGTCAACGAGGCAGTCTAGATATAAAAAACATTCTTTATTATATCTATGATAACAACCATCACACTAGAGAAAATCCTAGCGTGGCGCCAAGATTTTGTCCGGAAAAATGTAGCTCTCAACAAAGGAGCATAGAAAAATATGAAGTATAATTTTCCATCTCATTCACACCTATCATTCTAGTAGGTACCTACATATGTACGGTCATACAGAAACGTCTTAAAACTGCTACAGATTTCATTTTAAAATTGTATAAGCTCTACAAAGACCCACTTAAAGGAATCTTTCAACATGTCTACAAAATGGTTCAAACATATTTTTCAGCGCTTACAGTAAAAGGTGTAATGTATAGAGTGTTCAGAATTTGTTGTAAACATAATGTAACACCATGTGAATCTTCTGAAAAGACGGTTTATGTTATGGCTCAACCGGAGTGATATCACGGCCTCACAGAAAACCGACGTGAAGCAACGCTTGCGTTGTGTTTCGTCGTGTGAGTGAGGTTACCGGAGGCCCAATTACCCTCCCCTTCCCCAATCTCCCCAATTCCTGAATTCCCAACGATCCTCAAACTCCTAATCCCCAAAAGGCCGGTAACACACTTGTAACGCCTCTGGTGTTCCAGATGTGCATGGGCGACGCCGATTGCTTACCATCAGGTGATCCGTCTGCTCGTTTACCTATGCCCTAAAAAAAATAGTCTCCACTAACTCTTGGTCCATGTCCTTGTCATACATTTTTCCTGTCCTTGGCTTGTGTAAACACAAAATTACATAAAAACAATAGAATAAACCTCTTTTCGAATGTCTTTTTATGTAATTTTAATATTATCAACAAGACTAAATATTTTTTAATCACAATCTGTTATTTGACCACCATCTCGTTTAGTGGTAAACGATAATGTTATTTACTCGGGTCAATGAAGACAATAAAATAGTGCTTCAAGTAAATGTCATCATGCGCCAAGTTCTAATCCATACTCTATGTACGCTATACAGCAATTGGTATTTGTTGAACTTGAGAATCGAAGGGATTTTGATTTTGCAATTTATAACAAGACATTGTTGAACTGTTTCATAACAGACGCGATAACGTGAGAATCGCATGTCATTGTTCAAATGTAAATTAAGCTACACATATAAAATGAAATTATACTTTTACACATTTTATTAAACCATTGCAAAATATGTAATTGAAATTAATTGGAGCAACAGAAGTGGATTTCATTTATAGAACTACTACACTAGCTGTTGCCCGCGACTCCATCTGCTTTTTAATTCGTAGCCTATTTCATTCCCCTTCCATCTATTACGTAACTTTGTCATTGTATGCTTTAAATAATCAAACAAACTTAGTTCCAAATTTAAAATAGTTAGGCATTCATTGTATGTCATCAATATTACATGATGACATATCAAATACTTTTTTTCAAACTACCACGAAGAAACCTAACTTTAAAAGAAGTGTAAAGTCGAAATTCATCATCATTATCATCAACAGCCTATAAATGCCCACTGCTTAGCAAAGCCTCTTCTCACACAGATAAGGTTTGCGCATTAATCACCACGCTTGCTCAATGCGGGTTGGCGATTACAAACTTAGACAGTTATTTAGACAGTATAAGTCCAGGTTTCCTCACGATGTTTTCCTTCACCGTTTGTTAGTGGTGTCTGAATAATCTTAGAAAGTACATATAACTCGGAAAAAGTCACATTGGTACTTGCCGCTGGTAGGTTTCAAACCCGCACCCCCATGCATGAGAAGCGGGCGTCTTAAACCTCCGGGCCACCGGGGCAATAAGTCGAAATTGGAAAGTCCAAAAAATACTTTTCTCTATTTTAATAATAAATAGAAGTTGTAGTTCCGAGTTCATCTAAGACAACAAATAACAAAAGAATATTAAAAAAAACTATCTATGAACAGGTATTTTCCATCACCAGTTCTCACAATTGATGACAATTTCCCTTCCTATTTTACAATTGTTTTCTGCCTGCCAAATAAATCTTGGATGACCTTGAAAACATGTATAATTCTGTGCTCGTCAAAATTAAATCATTATACTGTTGGCAGCCAAGATTTCATCGGTCGATGACTTCTATTGCGTAAAAATTCTAATAATACGCCATGATGCAGAGATATGAAATGAAAAGTGAATGTTTGCCGATCTGATTTGTATTACGAATTGGATTTAAGATTGCGCAATTAAATTCTTTGTGGTAACCGGTACGTACATATAGGTAGTTTAAACATCAACGACGAGGGGTCTTTTTTTAAGGGGAAAAAATCATCGAATGCCTGCTCCCGCCTGGGTGAGGAGGGAGGGAGTGTCAGACTCTTACTGACTAAAAACCACCCCGTTCCTTCTCCGGCACGTCGAGTCGGAGCCCCGGTTACCCGTTAGGTTCTCCGCCACATGACAAGTCGTCTAGATTAAATGTTTTACTGTTTTGCTAGCAAGAACCATGGTTCAGCATAAATGAGTCGGCTTAGCCATGGCGATACCACGGTCTCACAGAAAAGCGACGTGGAACAACGCTTGCGTTGTATTGCGCCATTTTAGTGATGTTATCAGAGGCTCTTCCCCAATCCTATATCGCCAATTCCTAAGAGGCACATGTAATTCCTCCGGAGTCTAGTGCACTTAAATTATTTAAAGTGTTTCCGAGTTTCGATTTTGTATTTAGGTATTATAACAAACCCTTAAGTG